ACCACTGTCCCTCCTCTGGACATGTCCAAACCACTGTCCCTCCTCTGAACAAGTCCAAACCACTGTCCCTCCTCTGGACATGTCCAAACCACTGTCCCTCCTCTAGACATGTCCAAACCATCTCAGTGTGTCCTCTCTAACTTTATCTCCCAGTAGTTCAACCTGTGCTGTACCTCTGATGATCTCAGTCTTAATCTTCTCCATCCGTGTCACTCCTAAGGAGAACCTCAACATCTTCATTTTTGCCACTTCCAGTTCTGTCTCCTGTCTTTTTGTCCATGTCTCTGTCTCCAGACCATACAACATAGATGGTCTCACCACTGTCTTGTAAACTTTTCCTTTGACATTTACTGACACCCTTTTGTCACAAATCACTCCTGAAACTTTTCTCCATCCACTCCATCCTGTCTGGACTCTCTTCTTCACCTCTTTACCACATTCCCCATTTTCCTGGACAGTGGACCCCAAGTCTTTGAAGTCCTGCACCTTTGTGACCTCTGCTCCTTGTAGCCTCACTGTTCCACCTCCTCCCTCTCATTCACACACATGTACTCTGTCTTACCATGGCTGACTTTCCTTCCTCTTCTTTCAAGTGCATACCTCGACCTCTTCAAGTTCTCTTCCACCTGTTTCCTGTTTTCACCACAGATCACGATGTCATCTGCAAACATCATAGTCCATGGGGATTCCTGCCTGACCTCATCCGTTAACATCAGAGTTATATACCAACTTAAAATACTGTCTAATGCTCTCTGTTCTCTGTCTGGTATCAGATACAAGGGAACTCTTGCAAGTGTTTCCTCTAAAAGTGACATGGACTGGCTGTGGGACTTCAGTGGAAGAAAGCCCTTCTGGATAGGTGAGGGTCCTCAGTTTAGGACTGGTAAAATATTATTTAGATACCTTTCACACAGGACAACAACCCCACTCTGATGTTTAATAAATCAGCCAGAACTTCTTGGTGGTTTCCTCAGGGGTGTAGTAAGTGCATGTGATCATTCAGAGCCACAATCATTTAAAACATTCACAAAACAATTTTTGTGAAGTGGTATGTGTTTATTTTTGTGGTGGCAGCAGAGGAAGACCCTCTGGGTCTTCTAGTTCCTCAGAGAAGGCCCAAGAATTCAGCACAACTGAAATATTACATAAAAAAAATATTTTGCTGATTTCTCTTATTTTCTCTAAATAACTATAAGTTGAGAAATAAACTTTTAATTAAATATAATATAGATATCTAATATTTGTAAATTTTTGCCTCCTGGCAGAAACATCCTTCCTTACATAGAGAACTTTACTAATTGTCTTTTGTATGTATATGAATGTTTCTGTTCAGTGCCCTGAGACAACTTTGTTGTGATTTATAAACTGAATTGAATTTGTTATTATTATTATTATTATTATTATTATTATTATTATTATTATTATTATTATTATTATTATTGTTGTTAATAATAATAATTGAATTGACACACTCTCGTTGGTTAGGACTTCAATGTCAGGAGAGAGAGTTCAGGCCAGTCAGAGTCTCCAGGATGAGTTTGTTTAACACCTGGCAGGAAAATTAAATGATCACAATGGAGGATGGGTGTGACCTATGCCTTCAGGAAGGCCCCCTGTGTGTCCTGCTGTAATTGTTAGTTTGTGTTAGTTAGTTAGTTTTTTAGATTTGTGTCTAAAGCAGTTATGGTGGACATGAATAATGTGGCTAGCATCACCCTTTTCAAAGTGATCTTTCACAGAGAACAAGATAATTTTCCAAACAGGAAGACAAACTCCAGCAGTGGAACTGACAGGAAATAAAATGTGGAAAAAGGCATTTTGAAACTACCTTTATCAGCCCTATTTGTGGACAAGTTTTTTTTATTTATTACTACTAGTCTTTTTTATTGGTTTTCAGACAACCATCGGAAAACTTTTTTTTTTTTAGCTGCCTGTCTCATTTCACTACGAACAGATCCCCTGGGCCGTTGCTGGATCGTTTATTCTGATGAAGTCAGTTTAGAGGCTCACTTCTCCAAACTAAAGTTAAAATGTTTTCAAGACACGCAAGTGGATCATGAGCTACATGAGCCATGCCAGAGTCTGGTAGGTCCGGAGAACAGATGCTGAACACCTCGTTAATGTCTTTTTTCAATAGCAGCACTATAACATGAGAGAAAAGACTCCAGAGAGGTCTCTGAGAGCGGCCTCAGCATGCTGCGACATTTTATCCTGTTTAGTTTGCTCAGTTTGAACGGAAACAGGACCTCTTGGAGATCTTGTCGTGGACCATCTCAGTGAGTTTGAAGAAAACTCAGTTCATCTCCCAGATACAGAACACCACACAAACTCTGATTTTGGTTTTCTGCTCAAATAAACTCAGTTTTTCGTTCTGATAAATAAGGAGTTTTTGAAGTGCAGTTTTGGTTGTTCAGCTTCAGATTGATTCTTGGACCACCACAGGGAGATAAACTGGTCAGTTTGACTCCATCCATGAGGACCAGTCAAAGTGTCTGCATACATTTGATCCCTGCACTCATGCTACTTACACACCCATTTGTCATGACCTCATGATGTATTCAAGTACAACCTGTAAACTAAAAGGTCCACACTGAAATTGAAACATCTCATTTAGGTTTACACTGATCATTTTAATAGCACAGCTGTATTTTGGTTTCATTACAAGATGGAATTTTACAGAAGCAGTTTCTGTGTGTTACATCCTGATGCTGCTCCATAATCCAGGTAAATACATCTAACAAGGTTAAGTCAGGTCCTCTGAACAGATTCTTCTTTGTTGAAACGTTTCGTCTTTTCTGAAATACTTCTTCAGTCTACCTGGATTATTGAACATGCATCAGGATATTTCGAACAGACTGAAAGAAGTCTTTTGGACAAAAAACAAAACATTCTGTGGGTTACAGTTAAAATTTCAGTCTGGATTATTAAAATTGCATGTTGTATTTGAACGCACCATGAAGGCAATTCACCCTTCATGTGTTTCTATAAAATGATGTGTATTAGCACAACCTTTTTGTAAGTAATTAGGAGCACAGATTGCATAACTGCTTATACATGAGGGTATGACCGTGACACACTTGTGGAGTTTTCTGTGTCGCTGCTTTGCCATCGTGCCATCATGGTTCAGTCCTTCCAGCCTCGGGCTTAGGCCTGTCATGGCAGCTGTCTTCATGATCCTCCATCTGCCTTCACGGACCGAACTCTACAGACCTGTTCGGTTCTGCGTGGAAACCCTGGATGTTCTCTGTCTGCTGGACCCGGTTCTGGAGGGCAGCTGCTGCGGTCCTTATTATCATCAAGCTACTGAAGGGACCTGCTAACATGACCACGCCGCTAACAGTATCATGCTGCTAACTGGACCATGTTGCTAAGATAACCTCACTATCATCAGAACCACTCTGCCAATAGGACCAAGCTGCTGTAGATTTATTTCTTTTTCATGTTTGGTGCTTTGGTTCTGTATTTTTGTTGCATGCTTTGAATAAATCCCAGTTTATGTTAATGTGAGCACCAACATAAACTAAACTAAGTGTTTAAATTGTAGCCGAACAGAACCTATGTGAATCGTGCTGCTGTTGTTAAGTGTATTGTTTTGCACTATCAGTGACTAGTGTATATCTTAGATCTTTTAGCGTACCGTTGGACATTTGTTTAGCATATATGTTAGTTTATATCTTAGATCCTTGTTTATTGTTTCTTTTTAAACTTTATATTTTTGCTATTGCTGGATGTAACTGGGACACTGTGTACACAATTTAGTTCCACCTCATGTACCACATGTGATGCAAATGACAATAAAGAACCTTGAATCCTTATTTGTCCATGCTCAAGACCCAGCTCTAAAAATCCCAGTTCACCACCAGGTGGCAGTGTATTCAGAAATGGAGCTTCTGTACACCAACATGAATTTGAAGCATGCTGGCCACTGTTGGCAAGGTCAAATGTGCTTTTATTTTCTTCCTGTAAAACATTGGGCAAAAAGTTACTTACATGTATACACTTTGAGCATTTGCACAAATAACGTTTGTCTGGGTATAAAAAGTAAAAAGCAACCTGAGTAGCATTTACCTGAATGAATGAAAGTACATTGCTTGATATTGCCAAATACTGATCCTGCTTCAATCTTTCAACTCATGAGCAAAGTATAATACACTAATTAATGCTTTATAAAGTGGGAATTATTGGGAAGTGGTACCATGTAATTTAAATACCGGTCATTTTTATTACATTTTCTCTTCGTTGTTTTAGGTCTGAATGACAGGGAGGGCCGAGGACGGTGGGAGTGGGCAGGTGGTGAGCCCGTAAGCTACACCAACTGGAGAAAGATGCCTCCTCGCTCCAAAACAAAAGGCAGCAGAAAGTGTGTCCTGGTGTGGAGAAGAGCGAAGTGGCAGATCAGAGACTGCAGGAGCAGCAGACCTCATCACTTTGTGTGTTCTGTAAAAGTCTGAAGCGTTTCCGAGGGTTGTCTCTAGGCCAGATGCTCAGGACTAATGGGGGACCGGCAGGATCTGTGGTTTGACTATATATATAATATAACCTGCTCCACCAAGTAAAAAAAAAACTTTGTTTACACTTCATGTAGTTTTACCACTAAGAAGATCATCTGTATGTGAAGTGAATGACTCTGATAGTTTTTAGTGTTTTGTGTATCTCAGAGGGACTTCTGTTGGATAATTCCAATGAAACAAATTAATTTGTTTCCAGAGATTCTGCATCAGAAGATCCAGCGCCCTTTGAACTTTTTCATTTTACATTATTTTATTATTTTAATTTATATTTTCTTTACACGGTACATGTTTCTAAGCGTTATCACAGCAGAAGTGCTTCAACTTTGTTGTAAATGAAAATCTCATTAGATGTTAAAAGTACAGAACAAAACTGTGGCTTGTACTTTTTGATACTATGTACAGAAGTGGTGGTGGTGTTTTTTGGGGGTGGGGGTCCAGAGGAAGAAGGTCTCAGTTAAAAATTTAAATGAAAAATAGTGAAAAAACAGCTAGATTATAAGGCGTTGAAGAAAACTAAAAACAGGAACATGTCTGCATTGTTTTTTACCAGGAACTTAACAGATGTTTGAGGTCACTTAGAGAAGTCAAGGTCGAGAGCTTCAGATCTTTTTCTGCTAAGATATTCCAGGAAACGGGAGCGGAGTAGGAGAAGGACCTGTTGTCTAGTTCAGTCTGCACTCAGGGAACAATAATGTTCTGAGAGCACACGCTGTAGCTGCACTCACGGGGAGTTTTTTTGTTTTGTTTTATGTTCTTTGTGTTTTATATGTTCAAAATTAAAAATTGATAAATCAAAAAAATAAAATACAGATTAAAGTGCATAAGAACAACACGTTCAAACTTTTGCTAAATGTAATGCAACCCCACCCCCCAACACCACACACACATTCCTGCTGTGGGGAGGTAGAGGCAAATGGGTGTTCATTCTCAGGATCAGACGTGTGGAGACACATTTGTGGCTGAGGAAGTGGATGGCTCCTCATCTTGGCCTGTGGCTGAGGGTGCTCCAAAATATTTCCTGAATTTGCATTAATATACCAAACATAAAACCTCAGATACATCACACATCAGTTGTATCATCAAACATTTATAATTCTATGCCTCACAATGGTTATTTAATAGACTATAAAACTGTTGTTGAGAAGTAGCTTAATGCAGTACTGAGTAATTACAGCAGGCTAACATAACTTTATCAAGTGAAGTGATCTAAGGACTGTCATACTGACATATCCAACAGCTAACAACTAACGCAAAACAAATCGATGTAGCCTACATGTATGTCCAATTTGTGAAATACTGTTTTCAGAATAGGAGACAAATCAACACCTCTGGTTATTTAACACGGACCAAGCTACATCGCATAACACGGACATCACTGTCTTCAGTAATTATAGTAGCCTAATATTACTACTGACATGTAGTTTTGTTTTAGAAGAATTTCAATCTTTAAAACGATAATATTTTCTGCTGAAAACCAAATATGTTGTCCTAAGCAGCTAAATGCAACAGTGAAGCCGTTTACAAGAAGGGACAGAGCAGACTGTACTTCTTGAGGAAGCTGAAGTCCTTCAGTGTTTGCAGCAAGATGCTGCAGATCTTGTATAAGTCTCTTGTAGAGAGTTCTATCTCTTCTGCCACCATCTGCTGGGGGAGCAGCACCAGAGCAAGTGACTTCAAAAAGATCAACAAGCTCATAAAGAAGGCTGGCTCAGTTCTGGGGACTCCTCTAGAACCTTTGGAGATGATTGTACAAAGAAGGATTCTTCATAAAATGAAGAACATTATAGACAACCCTCAGCATCCTCTTCATCAGAATGTCATACAACAGAGTGTCTTCAGTCAGAGGCTTCTTCAGATCTGCTGTAAGACAGACGCTACAAGAGATCCTTCCTGCTCACAGCATCTAGAAGAACTCTAATGAAACCAGGATGATGAGGTACAACAACATTTAACTTCCCTTTGGAATTAATTTTTTATTATTTATTTAATTGAATTGTAAACAACAGTTAGTGTTTTATATTATTATTAACAGTAAGACTATCTTGTAACAGGCTATACTACATAACATAACAGCTTTCATGCTCCAAGAGATGACACAGCTGCATACCGTTATCTTTTCCTCATTTCTCCTCCTCTTCTTTACCGTTTGTCCTAAACTGGACACCTGATGGCTTTGACCTGTTCTTGTCCATCTTCCATGTGTGTAATTGGCACTCCCCCAACATGAGTCAAAACAAGTTAGTCCTAAATTAATTCACCTTTCTCTGTGTGTCAATGAAGAGGATAAAACAGAGCTACACTCTGGACATTCAAAAAACACAACAAAACAAAACAAAAAGTAGAAAGGTTTCATCTCTCATCCGAAAGACTTCTTCAGTCTGAGGTGCTGTATTCAGTTCAGTCTCTTAAATAGCACCTTCTCAGAGTGGATCAACCAGTTTGCTGCTGACAACCAAAACCAGCTGCTCACATGGTCAAGAAGGACCATCAGCCTAACAATGGATCATTAACACACTGATGTTTGTGAGCTGAATACAGCACCTCAGACTTAATAAATCTTTCGGATGAGAGACAAAACATTTCTACTTTTTTTATTTATTTATTTTTTGAATGTCCAGAGGACCAGACTTAACTTTTTTAGATTTTTCTACCTGGATTATTGAGCATGCATCAGGACAGAGCTACATTGTGTTCAGTGAAGGTGGGGTGCTGTTGATCTCAACCACTGATGTTGTTGGGAATTGGAAAGAATACTTCTCAGACCTTCTCAATCCCATCGGCACATCGTTCACAAAGGAAGTTGAGGCAGTGGACTTCAGGGTTTCTCTGTCCATAACCGTGGCTGAGGTTGCCAAGGTAGTTAAAAAGCTCAGAGGCGGCAGGGCTCTGGGAGTGGATGAGATTCACCCTGATTTCCTTAAGGCTGTGGATGTTGTGAGGCTGTCTTGATTGACACGACTTTGCAACATTGCATGGACTTTGGGGCAGTGCCACTGGATTCTCGGGCTGGGGTGATGGTTCCCCTCATCAAAAAGAAGGACTGGAGAGTGTGCCCCACTTATAGGGGCATCACTCTTCTTAGCCTCCCTGGTAAGGTCTATTCAGGGTTACTAGAAACGAGTCAGATCGTTGGTCGAACCTCAGACCCAGGAGGAACAATGCGGGTTCCATCCAGGCTGTGGAACACTGGACCAGCTCTTTCTCTCACTAGGGTCCTCGAGGACTCTTGGGAGTTTACCCATCCAGTCTACATGTGTTTTGTGGACTTGTAGAAGGCTTTCAACCATGTTCCTCAAGGTACAATGTGGGGGGTGCTCCAAGAGTATGGGATTGGGGGCCCGTTGTTACGGGTTGTTTGGTCTCTATACAAGTAGTGCAAGAGTTTGGTTCACATTGCTGATAGTAAGTTGGACCCCTACAGGGTGGGAGTTGGACTCTGCCAGGGCTTCTTGTTGTCACAGATTCTGTTCATATTATTTATTTATTTATCAACCTTTATTTAACCAGGCAAATCCCATTGAGATCACAGATCTCTTTTTCAAGGGAGGCCTAGGCCTGAAGGCAGCCTAACAAGCATATTTTTGGTCTGTCATAACTTTTATGGACAGAATTTCTCGGTGTAGCCAAGGGATGGAGGGATTCAGGTTTGGTGGCCTCAGGATTCCTTCTCTGCTCTTTGAAGATGATGTGGTCCTGTTGGTGTCATCGTGCCATGATCTTCAGCTCTCACTGGAGCAGTTCGCAACTGAGTGTGAAGCGGCTGGGATGAGAATAATCACCTCTAAATCTGAGGCCATGGTCCTCAGTCAGAAAAGCGTGGATTGCTCTCTTCAGGTCGAGGGTGAGATTCTGCCTCAAATGAAGGAGTTCAAGTATCTCAGTCTTCTGTTCACAAGTGAGGGAAGAATGGAGCGTGAGATTGACAGACGGATTGGTGCAGCGTCTGCAGAGTTGCAAACTCTGTGCCAGTCCATTGTGGTGAAAAGGGAGCCGAGTTGAAAGGTGAAGCTCTCTGTTTATCAGTCAGTCTACGTGCCTACCCTCACCTAGTCATGAACTCTGGGGAGTGACCGAAAGAATGAGATTGCGGATACAGGCGGTTGAAATTAGTTTCCTCTGCAGGGTAGCTGGACTCTCTCTTAGAGACAGGGTGAGAAGTTCAGTTATCAGGAGAGACTCAGAGTAGAACCGCTGCTCCTCCACATCTCCCTCTGATTAGTCTCTTTAGAATGATTTGTTAAATTAGCTTTGTAGAGATCTAGTAGAGTGCTGTATGAATGGGTAAATGAGGACACAGATTGTAGTGTAAAGCGCTTTGAGTATCTTGAAATTAGATAGAAAGGCGCTATATAAGTACAGTCCATTTACCATTTATCTAGAGGAGCCACTTGAGGTGGTTCAGGTGTCTGGTAAGGATGTTCCCTGGACTCCTCCCTAAGGAGGTGCTTCGGGCATGTCCGACTGGGACGAGACCCCGAGGAAGACCCAGGACACACTGGACAGACTGTCTCTTGGTTGGCCTGAGAACTCCTTGGAGTCCTCCCAGAAGAGCTGGAAGAGGGGGCTATGGAAAGAGATGTCTGGACCTCCCTGCTCAAGATGCTGCCCACGAGACCTGACTTCAGAACAAGCGGAAGATAACTATTGATGTATGGACAGACTAACTGACATGTTGCGAATGGTAAGATTGCTCCACCCGCATGTATACTTAGATCAGGGTGAGCTAACCGCTGACAAACTAAATGGAGGAGGTAGTGAAGCTCACAGCATTACCTAAGGCATTTTTGCCTTATCAGAAAATTTTAAGCCAAAGAAGTCAGGAAAAAATTTAAAGATACTAATAATTTATTTATTTATTTGTTAATAGTTACTGTAGTAGATATTTTCATGCTGTAGAGTGACACAGGGCAAGAATTCACTCTGAAATTCTGTATGTAAGAGAGTAAATTTTACATTACACAACTATTTTTTAATTACTTTTTAAATAATTTGTGCAAAATCAGTTGAGTTTTAACTGATCAAAACAAAGACTAAACTTATGCAACCAGAAGTTGCAGCATATATCTACATATAAAATACACAAAACAAAGCAAAACAGCATTAACATATTCATGAAGCACTAACATATTTGTGCTCAATAATCCAGGTAGAAAAATGTAACAAAGTTCAGTCAGGTCCTCTGGACGGTTTCTTTTTGTTGAAATGTTTTGTTTTTCATCCAAAAAACTTCATCAGACTGAGGAGCCACAATAAAGTCAGTCTTATAAATAGCACTGTCTCATAGTGGGGCAGCCCAGTCTACCACAGGGACACAGAGACCAATGAAACAAACAACCATTCAAATTCTTACTCACACCTAGAGACAATTTAGTAGCAAAACATGAGCTAAAGTTAAAAATAGGCGATATCCTGATTCCCACATAGTTGTCAGAAACAAAGTGATGGCTATAAACACAAGTGCAACATAATTTCTATTTAGATGTCTTTCTTTCTTGTTTTATCACCTGCATACATTTATGTTGTAGCTCTTCTTCAGTCAGGAATGAGCAAATAAAAATGTAACAATGCTTTTTGCTCAGAGTGGAGGTTTTGTTACTTGCTGTGGTCGATTTCCAGTGGAAAAATGCTCCAGTGTCACAAATGTCTATATTTGGTGACAAAAGCGGCATAAAACAAAGCTAATATATTTTTATGATAAAATCATAAAAATAAAAAACAGATAGTTAAAGGCAGCTCATTTTCTTATGATGAAGTTTTGTTTTTGGTGGGTCTGATTCCTGGATGAGTCCTCCCTCCTCCTGCTGCTGCTTAGATGGCTCTGCTGCAGATGGTACGTCTTCCTGGCCTGGACTCTCTCCTCCTCCAGAACTTCTGTGTCATCCAGAATCTCCAGGCTTGGGATCTGACTGATCACATATAGCCTAAAGAAAAACAGAGTGATGATGGTCAAAGTGGGCCAGACTGGCGAGGATATAAATACAGCAGCCTATAAGTGCTAGGCATTCAGTTAGGATCATCAGCGTCAGAAGCATTTGTAATATGGAATGGGGTGGGGGGCACACTAGTGTAGGGCGAGGGTGTCTGGGGGGGTCCCCCCCAAAAAACTTTGAATAAAGTAGATGCCATTTCCTGCATTCTGGTGTATTTTAACAGGTAGTTAAACATACTGGTAGATGTTTAAATACATAAATAAACGATTCAATAACACCCCCCAGATCATGTCAAAAACTGTCAGAATTAGCATAGCACTAAGTTAACAGCGTGCAATACAGACGCATTAGCTAAGATGCTACAGATGTAGCGCTCCACTTCTCTCACACATCGTAACGCCCCACCCCCATCAACAACTGCCAGCATTAACGTGGCGCTAAGTTAGCACACAAAACAGAGGTGTCTCCCTCCCATGAGTGCTCTACCAACAAGCCAGATGACTGAGGAGAAACACTGCATGCAGTGTGGGGTTGTTGTGGGTAACCAGGAAAACCCGGAGTGGACTTTTAGTGGTTGGAGTATTCTCCTATTAATCAAGTGAAATGGATTTGTTCACAAAGAAATAGAAATAGTGCTGGGTGAAAGAATATTTCATGGTAAATGTGTGTGTGGGGGGGAGGGATGGGGGGTTCCAAATGAATAATTTTTAATTGTGGGAGGGAGACAAATCCCCTTCACATATAATTGTTGTGACGCCTTTATTTAAGATGTAACATCATTACAAAGACCCGACTGAGAATTATTGGATTTGGTACCTGTATGATTGTGCATGAACTTTGTCGGCTTGAACCACTTTGGCTGTGGCTGCCTGCCTGGGAGGAGTCAGGACAGCCCCCAGAAACCATCTTAGCTCCAGCAAACTGGTTGGTCCACTTAAGGAGTTTACTGCTTTGTGGGGAAACAGTTTACTGGAACTCCTCTGACTGATGAAGCCATCCGGATAGAGGGCGAAACATCTATAAAAAAGAAACTGTCCAGATGACCCGACTGAGAATTATTGGATTTGGTACCTGGATGATTGAGCATGAACGATGTCATCATCATGACATCTCACTCAAAGCTAATGCCAACGAACTCTATTGAGTCGTTGTTAGATTTCATCATTTTAATTTTTATTTAATTAAATTCTCAGTAATGGAATTGGCTTCTGACTAACAAAAACCTGAACATAAATGCCAACCAGACACCAACCAGAACAACCAACATGGACAACCCATCTCAAAACAGAACCTGAAAAAGTCCTGAGTCCGGTGTTTTGGTCCCACCTACTTTACATTAGCATGCTGTTTGGTTAACTTTCTTGTCAATTATTAATCAGTTCCTCCTGCAGAGACTGCCTGAGCTCAGCCTTCTCTCCTGATAATGAAGTTCTAACAAATACAGCTCCTTCTGTCTCTGCCAGGTGGCAAAAAACTTTTTTCAATCGGATTCTGTCACGATATGGTTGGGTGGTTGAACTGAAATGCAGGTAGGAAAAACATTAATTAAACAACAAAAAGAGCTGACGTGGCAGCAAAACTCCCTAACACATAGAAAAGGTGAGGAGGCATATGAGACATTACTAGACAATTCCCAAACAAAGAATAACAGACAGACACAAACTTATATACAAAGACTGACGAGACATAACCACAAAAACCTGGACAGGATATGCAGGTGGCACAGAGAGGTCTAATTACTAAATGGAACACCAGTGAGTGCAGGGGCAGAACACACCACAAGAGAGCACCATCCTCACAGTACCCCCCCACCCCCAAAGACATTTGCTGACATCCTAAAACCCACAGCCCAAAACTCGGGTGGGAGGAGGGGGAAACCGCGAGAATGGAGGGCCAAAAATCAAATGGAAGGAACCTGGGGACTAAACACAAGAAGGGTAGACTCTAAAGAAGGTCTGGTAGGTGGTCAGAGTACTGTCCAACAAGAGACCACATCTCCGAGGAATGGCTGGGAGCCTGTCCATCATGTGGCAGCAGTTCGGGTGGGCAGCTGGGAGGCCGTCCAGCATGTGGCAGCAGTTCAAGTGGAGAGCTGATGGAGATGGACACCTTGAAAGACACCGACCACCCAGCACAGGAAAAGAGAAGTGGAAGACCCAGGAGTTCTGCAGCTGGCATAGAGACCTGGGAGGCTGTGGCTGTCATTGAGACCAACCAGGAAGCTGCAGCTGTCATAGAGACCTGGGAGACTGAAGCTGTTTTTGAGACCAGGAAAGCTGTGGCTGTTGTTGAGACCAGAAAGGTTACAACTGTCACTAAGTACACAGGAAGCACAGCCACCGAGGAGACCTCAGGGGTAAATGTACTGTACTGTACTTATATAGCGCCTTTGTATCTGATCAAGATACTCAAAGCGCTTTACACTACAATCAGTGCCCTCATTTACCCATTCATACAGCACTCTACTAGATCTCCATCCATCCATCCATTATCTTTTACCCGCTTCTTCCATTTTGGGTCATAGTGGTCACCGGTGCCAATATCCAGCAATCACAGTGCGAGGGGCATTGTACACCCTGGACAGGTCGCAAGTCCATCACAGGGCCACATATAAATGGATATGGTAAAGTGACTGTACTTATATATGTGGGATTCCTGTTTTTTTTGTCTGTCACTCACTCTTCCTTCCACAGCCAATTAACCTCAACTCACTCCACCTGCTGCTGCTGCTCTGAGGAGGACTGCCTGATGGGGTATTTAAGCACCTGCCAGACACCTCTTCAGTGCTGGGACATCTTCTACCAAATGGTAACTCGTGTACAGCCAACTAACCTTTGTTACAGCTGGTTCTCACCAACTCTGACTCCTCCAGGACCTTCCACGGCCTGCCTCTTCAGATCCTCCCTAGGATCTCATCGCTCCACTGGACTCCACCTGTAGATCAACGGTGTCCCTTCAACAACCACCATTAAGCATTCTCAACTGGGTCAACCTGCTCCTCTCTCCATCACAAAATACCTCAGGACTGGATCTCCTACAAAAACCCAGGACCTCTCCTCTTCTCGGACTCCACCTACAGCACAAACAGTAAGGAGTCATTTCTCTCTATTCAAGAATCAAAACATTCAAAGAGACCACCAGAACCCATACTCACCTATTCCTCTTCTCCCTTACAGCTGCGACGACATGATCACCTGTAAATAAAAGTTCACTTACCTTTTGTAGTTCTGGCTCTGTCTTTATTGAATCAGTCTGCTCACGTGGGGGTCGACGTTGATAAAAACCTGATAGTATGTCCCAGCCAATGGACCCCCCGAGCAAGACTGAGGAGGTAAAGACTCAGTTAGAACCAAAAGTAAACACTGACCCTCTCCACTTAACTTTACAGCGGATTTTTGTGTAGCAACAAACAACTCAGGACAATTTATGGGAGTTGGGAGGTATGGTGCTCTCTCTTCAAAAACAAATGGCGGGCCAAGCTTCATCTTCGACTCAGCCCATCCCTCTGGAACCTACAATTAGGATGAACAATCCATGCCCCAAGGAACCAGACATTCGACCTTCTGAGATGTTCGAAGGTAACACGCAAATATGGTGGCTTCGTTCTCCAGTGTAGTTTGGCATTTAATCGTGCTCCCATTAGCTATTCATCCGATTCTGCCCGCATAACTTATGTGGTTAGTGCTTTAAAGGAGAAGCACTTCAGTGGGCACATGCTTACCTTCATAGACGCCCCATAGAAACTCTGACATTTGTTACCTTCTTGAAGGATTTTCTTCGGGTCTTTGACCACCCTTTGCAGCAGGAGGAGGCAGCCCAAAAACTTTTTACGTTACGTCAGGGGAAAGAGACGGTGTCCAAATTCACCATCCACTTCCGCATCATCGCCGAGGAGTCCGGCTGGGGTGAGATAGCGTTACGTAGTGCATTTATTAATGCTTTAAATCGACAGATTAAAGATCAACTAGTCACCCGGGACATCCCTTCGGATTTGGACGATGTAATTTCTCTGGCCATTCAAATAGACAACAAGGTTCGGGAAAGCCTCTTAGAAGAAGACTACAAGTCCCATAAACTTCCTTTTCCCGGAAGTAATGACTCTGCAACCGCGGATTCCACCTCTGAACCCGAACCTATGCAGATTGGTATGACTTGACTTTCTCCTGAGGAGCGACAACGCCACATCAAGGCCAACGCCTGCATGTACTGTGGGAAAAAGGATCATGTGATTGCTGCCTGCAAACTACGGGTAAAAGACAAGGCCCACCAGTAGTACAGGAGATACTGGTGGGTACCACTTCTTTGTCTCCTGAAAAGAACCTAAGTCTTTCAGCAATCATTTGCATTAACTCTGTAAATTTTCCTATCCAGGCGTTATAGATACCGGTGCTGAACAGAACCTAATCAGCAGAAACTTGGTGGAGGAACTACATATCCCCACTATCAACTTAACACCAGCTATCACCATCTCTGCTCTCACTGGGCAAACCATCTCTTCCATCTCATTAAAGACATTAAAAGTAATGTTTGTAGTGTCTGGAAATCACAGAGAGACGGGTGAGTTTTTTGTTTTTGACTCTCCTACACCACAACTCATCTTGGGTCATCCCTGGCTCAAATTACACAATCCTCAAATTAACTGGGCCAAAAATAGAGTTGAAAAATGGGGAGAAAATTGTTCTTTGAGATGCCTCTGCTCAGCCATCTCTTCAGGTTCACCTCCTAAACAAAAAATTGAAGACATCAATCTTTCAACAATACCTTCAAATTACCACACGATGGCGCCAGTCTTCAGCAAACAGAAGGCTTTATCCCTACCGCCACACCGTCCATATGATTGCGCTATCGACTTACTTCCTGGAGCTCCATTACCCACAAGTAGACTATATAACTTATCTGGGCCTGAAAAAATTTCTATGAAAGAGTATATTGATGACTCTTTAAAATCAGGCATCATCCGTCCTTCTACCTCTCCAGTATGGGCCGGTTTC